CAGCCGCCTGCGCCCTCCCCCATCTCCGGTCTTCTTGACTTTTGTCTTGACATCGTGTCCGGTGTGGGAGGAGTGAGACAGTGGGGTAGATCCTCCACGAGTCTACCTTCACTATAATCCCGTGAAACTCACTGCGTTGCTTCAGCCTGCTGAAGCACATGATGGACATCATCGAAATCGACGATCGAACTGTCGTGATCACTTTATCCCCTAAACTGGCCGCTTGGTAGGTACACTTAATCAACACAAGGGCTGAATTATCCCACTGTCGTGTCGGTAACCCGCGCCATTTCCCTTGCCGCTATCCCCTCGTCAGTCACGATGGCGACCACCATCTCTGGGATCACCTCCGACCTCCAGTCCGCCGATACTTTCATCAACACCAGTGGTGGAGACCCGATTTTAACCTGCCTCTATTGCCATCGCCCATTCGCCTCACTCATTGACCTGGTTGTTCACTGGCATATCCTTCACGCATGCTCTGGGGGAGGAAGGAGTGATCTTGTGTGGGTCACGTAGACGGGTTGTTCATGTGAAGTAACTTTAATACCATTACGCTGGTTACGTTGAATTTCTGTGTATTCGCTCTCCAGTGTGGTAAGACAATTAGCGTAGTCTGAATCTGGACTATGCGCAGATACACAATCCACTAAGCAGCCAAGAATAGGTTGTTGATAGTAGGGAGAACAATTTCTGCTTCCAACAATTGATTTTTAAGACCTTGTGGTTGACTAGGTTTTACTCTGAAATATCAGTTGTCGAATTTCACTGGAGGACCGTCTTCGCCGGGGTTTGCCGTTGTGTTTGTGTTTCGCCATCGCCCCTTGGTGGAGGGTTGACTAGTGTCATGGTCAGACTCCCTCCCCGATATCGTCTTCAAGGTGAGCTGTGGCTGTAGACACGAGACTTTTAGGTTCAGAAATTGAATCAAATTCTTACTCTGAAATAAAGTACCCTATGTCGTCAACGCACATTAAACGTTTCTGACCTGTCACACAGATGTGTAATTGGGCCGGCTTATTCGATTATGTTGCCATTTCTGTATCCCCGTTTCCTG